TGTGCCTTCGTTGTGCGCATGCTTGACTCTGTACTGGAACTCTGGAAGCGGAGGACGGACGGCAAGCATCACTTTGGGAAGCAGCAGGGAGTGCTCGCAGAGCGAGGAGGTCGGCGAACCGCTCGTAAACGATCGTAAATTTCCAGCCGGTAACAGTGTTTTTCTCTCACACCAAACCAGTCAGCAGTAAATAATCCACGATACGATACGGTCTCCCGAACAGGCTGCTGGCCACCAGATCGAGCTCGCTCCATCAGGGACGACGACGTGGGCACGTGGCTGCTGGGCTCGCGCCTTGGCAGGCCAGGGGAGACGGATCATGGGACGGGCCTAACACGGGGAGCCCTTTAGTTTCGGCTCTAGTCTTTGCATCGTCCGCGCGCGAGCCACCGTCCGTCGGCGCCGGAACACGCACTGCCTCATGGGTGTGCGGGTGCCGGTGCCGTGGGCGTGGTCCACCCGATGCCACCGGGAGAAAATGGGGTGTGCGGGTGCCGGTACCGTGGGCGTGGCGTGGCCGGAGAAGGCGAGCGAGTAAACAAATTTTAAAAACCAACCATCTCATGAGGCAATGATGCGAGAGCGAAATCGTCTCCTCCAAATTTCAAAATTGACACGCATAAGACCTTTTGCATCAGTACATATTCTAAAACTCTGCAATGCAATTCAGATGACTTCACGCGGAATGCTCAGCGCACTTTCCTTTGCATACCCACAACCTCAACCACAACCAGATGACAGCAACCGCATGCACATCACATGTGTTCCACTACAATCAGCTCATCATCATTATTTACACCCTACAAAAATTGACAGCCGTCAGTTAGCTCAGACCAAGGATAAATAAATAACCCATACAGTACTAACCAAAATAGTACCACTGGATCAGTGATTCAGTAGAATTCAGAAGTTTAAAGTTCAGCCAATGGGAGCATCATCAGCTGACTGAAACATCGCATTACCTCTGCTACAGCAGCCAGTCATCACCATCTCCACTTCAGCAGCAAATATCCTACTCCTTCGAACCGATCCCCATCCTCCGGAGCTGCCTGAGGCTGCCAGCGATGTCGCGGATCAGAGCCTCGCCTTCTTTGCCATTTCTCAGTGAGTTCACACTGTGCTCCAGGAAGCTCCTGTCCGCTTCCAGTGCCATCAGCCTCTCACTGACTCTAGAAATCTCGTCTTCAAATGAAGCCAGGTCATTCTCGCTCACCATGGCATGGTACTGCCCCTTGGGGTCACTTTGTTTCGAGTCCCTGGAGATGTATCCGTTTCTTCCTAGATGCTTTTCGAATACCGAGTCATCAGTTTCGCTGTCTTCGTATGCATCATCACTGTTTCTGTCGTCAACTGGATCTTCTTTGCCATCACTGACCTTTTGCACAGGAACATGCTTGCTGTTGTTTGAGAATTCATGAAGCTTCTGCCTCAGCTTCCTCAAGCATTTCGCGATGTACGTCTTCTCGTCCTCAAAACAAGCGAGTGATTTAATTCCGGAGATGCTAGAGCCAGCATGTTCTTTCTGACATGAAAGGCGCATTTGGTCACGTATTTCATTGACGAGTAACTGATCTTTAAGTTTCATCCTGTAGCCTTCGATCTCAGCTTGAAGATTTTGAACGATTCCGGTCATCTTCTGAAGGTCCTCACGGTCATACTCGTTTTGCTCTTCCATCATCCTCTGGTACTGCAAGGCTTCCATCTGCATTGCTGCCTTCTCTTCCTGCAGTCTAGTGATCATGGCCATCGTTTGGTTCGCTGCCACAGCTGACGCGTTTCTTTCTTCCTCCAGCTCCTTCCAAAGACGGCTTATCGACTTGCGGTCCAGCTCAATTTGTTGCTTCAGTTGATCAATCGTGCACTCTCCAGCTTCATTTACCATGCTCTCGGAGATACCTGAATAATTTCTGTCAAGGGATCTTGTGATATTGTTTAGTATGGCTTGTTCATGGTTGTTCTGTACAGTAGGGCTATCACTGTCAGTTGCACGGGATGCAGTAGACAGCTGTGACAACAGTGATTTCAAATCTTCATGGACTTTAAGAGAATTATTCCTTGATCTTCTTTGAGTAAATTCAACTTTGTTTTCATCTGGCAAGGTGTCGGTTTCAACAGATTTAGTGGTTATTGATAACTCATCAGAAGAACTAAGAGCATTGTGCCAAACATCATCTTCAGATTTATCTCCTGGAAAAAGAGAGTATACTCAGCACATATAAACGAATTAATCATAAACACAAAGGGTAGCAGATACTTCAACATGGTGAAGGATAAATGGATAATTCAGACCTCTTGTATTAGAATCTTCAGCAATTTGCTGCCTGTCTTTGTTCGAAAGATCAGTTGACTGAAGGTTTGTGTTGCCATCATCTTGGATGTTGTGCAAACCTCCTGAACTTTCAGAAGGCTGATTATCGCAACCATCATTCTGGACTGGTATCAACCCAGGCTCCTCAGGTAATTTCTCCTGTGAGTTATCATATGGGGGTCTGTCATCTGCAATCTTTGTTAGATGATGGCCCAATACAAAACCTTCCTTCAAATTATCTTGGTCATCCTTGAGAAAACTTCCAACATTACCACCAGGCTGCCAGGGCTCTGACTCAGTGTCAGAGGTCTTCAGCTCACCGTATGCAACATAATTGACCTCATCGATACTCTGTTGGTCTCTTGAAACAACTCTGCAAATCCCCTCGATGCCAATGCCACTAGCTTTGCTTTGAAGAACCACAAAAGGATGTGACTTAACTTGCAATGGTCTTGAGCAACATGAACATAGAGTGTCCTTCTTCATGACTGGTGCTTCAGTTGCATCATTCCTCAAAGTGAAGTTATTGTTGCAACCCACATTGCCGACGCCGACACCGAGTTTCCCCACCAAGGACCGGTATGTTTCTAGGTTTGATTTCTTGTCAGCGGCAAATGACAGCAGGCAGGCCTCACACATCCTGTGAACATCAACAAGCTTTTGATGGATGTGGCAAAATGCCCATGATGATGCTTCTGCCTTGTGAGAACTGCACATTAATTCTCGATAAAAGCCCGGCTGTGCCTTGCCTAAGACATGATCCAGCCTCGTGCATATTGGGCATGGGGGTTGCAGCTTGCATAGGTGTGCAAATGTTGTCACCAGATAGGAGAGCAGACCCTCAAGCAGCAGCAGAAGCATCAAGACCCATTCTTGGACAACTGAAGTTAGTCGAGCAGAGAACTGCTGATATCTCCATGGATCACCAGTAATTGTTCTTGAAGCCATGACTTCAACTTGGGATGGAAATTTCTTACTGGATGAATAGTTTGTATATTTCATGTTGGAAAAGAACTGAAAAGATAATGTGCGGTTAGAGGCAAAACAATAACCTAAACTCTGAAACTTAAGCCAACTGGCAACTGCAGCACAAGTAAAAAGCCCCATAATTTGATTCAAAATGAACATATCCAACTCAGATTTCCATTTGCAAGGGAGGATTAGGGTTGAGGGTTTTAGGAATGAAACATGTGATTCCATCGTGCTAGAGGGGCTCCTAAAGTAAAATCTTCACCACAATTAGCCATGTTATGTCAAAGATTATTCAGATTAACGTATAATAAAGGACATCTACATCTTACAGCTTTAGTTTAAACTGGGGGCTAATTTATGACTCAACTACATACAATAATCGCACAAGAACACAAGAAGTTCAGGTTGTACTGGATCGGCCACAAAACTCAACAGCAAGAACTCAAATGAAGAACCGCTTCATGCATACAACCGAAACGTCCAATCCTAGTATCCCAGTACACAATCCGATCAAGCAAACCGGATTAACTCAAGAATTCCCAATTTGCATCAGCAATTAAAAAAAAGGGAAGATCAAACGGCTGATCTGACATACCTTCGTCACATTTCTGAGGTGGCCATGGATTTTGTTTGCCTCTTCGGGAGAGGAGACAGGAAGTGAGGAAAGGAACGGCTTGCTCAGATCTCCCCGACTCCCCCCACTCCGTGTTCCTGGAGCACAACTTGCCAACTACCATGGAACCAATAAATAAACCGAAAATTAAAGGATTTACGTGCATCAATAAATAATTGAAGGGCAGGTTAGAAGGTATCAAATGCAGAAATAAAGGTGGGTGTACCTCGTTCGTCATAACAGGCTGTGATAGTACACAAGATTAGACGGAGAACAAAATAAACAAATAAACAATAGAAGAGGCAAATGAGCACTAATCTCTTATTTTAATTTATTTTCAAACTAAATAATGATACATGGCCTTCTCAATTTCGGATTCAAATATGGGCCTGTCGACTTTTAAAAAAAAAATTGCCACCGGGTGACAGACTGAAAAGCCAATCTAACTACAACCAATGAAGCAATTGTTGCGTTCGGTTCGACCCATTCCCTTGTCAACATTGACAGACACATGGGTCCACGTCATTAGTCAATACTGCTTCGAGAATATTTGGACCAAAGTACCCTAAATGGTTAGTCACTGAGACGATAATTGCACTGAGGTTTTGGCTGCATCTTTCCAAAATCAACTTGAGACCAACCGTCGATCCAACGAACCACCTGGAATTGTTTACACACCTCACAAGAAAGCATGGGTCTTCAGGATCCGCAGGCACCACCACAACCCTCAACCGGGCTTCCAAACCTGGGGATGCATCAAACGGAACAGCGCCATTCCGATAGCTTTTTCAGCTCACAGATCAGTTGAGGCCTCGAGGGCTTCACTTCACAGGACCAAAACGCCAGGCGAACTCCCTACAAGGATCCTCAAGTAATTTACATGGAATGTCACATGGTCCCAGCAACAGAGTTCTTACGAGTACAAGACGAATGTAAGAAAATGGACAAGGTCCAGCAGCGCGAACAACGTCATTGGCCCTACAGCCTTCTTTTGGTGGAGATGTTGGGTATAAAATAAAACAAAAAATGCATGGAGATGGAAACGTCTAAGAGTTAGGCAATTCGGTTTGTACAGAGACAATCCCAGCAGTTGCTGCTCCATGCTCTTCAGAGGGCCTTCAACTCAGGCTTGAGAGATCTAGTTTTGGTCGCCACACCACTCTTCGGCGAGCATTGTACTCTGTTAGCGTCTTTTGAAGTCCCAATGCTGTGACGATGTGACCGGGTAGATGTTGCATTGGTATTTTTCCCCTCAGGTGTCTGCGGTGTATCACTGCAGCTCTTTCTCCTTGAACTTGTAAACTTTGGCGATTTGGCACGAGTAGGAGGCACCTTGACAGAACAGAAGGCAAAAATTAAATTCACCATCAGAACCATCGAAAAGTATACTAATACTTCGCACAATGTATTCATGCCGCAAGCAACAATCATGCATTTCTATTTTTGTCGGGCAAAAACATTCTCAAATACTATTTGCTCAAGGCTCAAACTAATTATACCCATGTCATTATTGGACAATCAGCTTGGTATTAGTGGCACCATGTGTTGTTCAAAAAAGGGGGCACAAAATCTGTCCTTCGTTTTAGGATGGCGTGCACATTCCATTCTTGGAATCACTATACCCTCAACAATAACCATGACTTATCACATGCAAAAATTGATAAAAGTCACAGACTCACAACAACACTTTTTATTGAGGATTAGAAACATGAAACTGGAATTACCTTCTTAAGTTCAGCCTTTGGTGGGGGCCCTTCTTGATAGAAGCTTGGCATGGGTTTCGCTTTAATCACCAATGACTTCCTTAGTTGTTTTAAAGCAACGTCTTGCTCTTCCTACCCAAATAATGAGCATTATATGATTAGTTAATGATAGATAAAGACAGCAATAGTGCATTCCATATAGACAGGACTAGAAAACAAAACTAGCACAAACACTTACTAAAGGAAAAGCACAACACAGTCAATCATACTACTGTACAATTTGAATGAAACAGCATATGATGGTCAATGGCATCAAATAACAATACCTAACTTAGCCCAACATTAACTAGATCTAGATGCATATGAGAGTAGATGTCATTCGACCAATCATATCTAAATGAACACATCATTGATTAGATAGTCACAACAACCAAGTCTTGAATTTCTGTTTTGTCTACTACGTGCAGATATTGCTTGTGTACAACTTGGATTTCATTTGAAAAACTTATCGACATTTCAAATTGAAAGACAGAAAATGATTACAATAGCCAGCAAGAAGATTATATAACAGGTGTACATGTGATGAAACTATATAGATAAAATATGTGAAATTTAATAGATCCCATATTATAATTGCTTGTAGGAAAGATTGGAAGGCATTTGAAACCTCAACAGTTACATATAAAGGAAAACTGGAAAAAGAACAAGGGAATAATTACTATGTGTTGAGCAAGAATCTTGAAGTATTATGTGTTGAGCAAGAATCTTGAATCTTCATAAATTTTATAAAGAACAGGTTGCCCTTATTGCTCTTATTTTCGAAGCAATAATTACTATATCGATCAAAAGAATAATATACAAAACTCAAGTGACCTGACCTATAATAATCTGATTGCAAGAGAGATCAGAATTCAGAAGTAACCTCTTACCTTTTTCCTGGACTCAGCCTCGTCCTTCTCTGCTTCCAAAGCTTTATGTTTCTCCTCTAATTTTGTGTAGAACTGGGTAATTAAAAACACTGTCACTACCAGACCTTTTTTTGGAATAAAAGTGCTTGCTAGTTGTGAATAATCAGTATGAATTAAGCAATCATCTGGAAATAATGCAAGAAAACTATATACACACCTCCTTCCTCTTGTCAGCACGGTTAGCACACACAAATGAAGGGGCAACAGGAACAGTTGTCTTAGTTCTGCCAGCTCTTGTTGATGTTGTAGTTCTTTACACAGCTCAGGAAAAGGGCCACATGCAACTCAGAACACTTGTAAAATTCATGTGTTTCTGAATTTAAACATTTAACTATGAAAACAGGCATCATCTTGAAAAAATATTGAGCATAACAAAATATTGTAAGTTCAGTGGATACATTAAAGCACCGTTTAGACAATGCTTTCATGTTCACAGAAGATAAGTGTATGAGTATAAATGTTCATCATTAGTTACTGTGGAACATAGAACAATTTGGTGCTTAATTAAGAAAAAACACTATGTGATTTTATGGTCATCTATGAACATGAATATTCAAATCTATTATTCCATCCTTATGTAAGTAGGCGTGAAACATCCGAAGGTGACATGCCAAAAGTTAAAATATTAGGCGCATATGAAACAGCATAAAAAAGGGATGAGATGCTCAACAAATCTTAGCACACAGAAAAAGGATACGATGAAGTCACAGAACAAGAGTCCTCTTCCAGAGGGTGAAATGCCTGCTCAGGCTGCAAAGTCTTCCTAGGTGCCATCGGCGTACTCTGAAATAAATAGCCAGACTAATTCTGTTAGTATAGCCTCCTATTTTGCAAAAGTACACTGCAGTATATTTTCGGACAAGAGAAGAAATTAGGCATGTTCCCAATTAATTAGAGATGACATGGGTTCAGTTTGCGCAACAATTTTTTAGATGATCCTGTGTGTTAGAAAACTTAAGCATGGAAAAAGTCCATGATCAGGTAGCTTCAATGCATAAGACAGAATATGTATGATCTAGCTAGTAAGAATTAGAAAAAAAAAACATACTTGCTGGGTAATAAGAAACAACAGAATCAAAACAAGAGGTAATGATATAGGCAGCGCCAAAATTTAATGAGAAATGTACAGAAGGCAATGACCATACCTTCTTTGTCATGCTTGCTGGAGAGATGCTACTTTTATCACCAGATTTATCCTTATTGGCCGATGGATTGGTCACACTGCCATTTACTCCAGATGTCCTTCTTTGAGTAGAAAGAGAGAATGGTTGGGGAACAACACGTTTAGGCCTCTCCGATCCGGAACTGGCAGTCGCAGACTTTGCTGGGGACTTGGGGGGAGCAGACTTCTCTTGATCAATCAACTTCAGTGAATCTTGATTTACACACTTGTCTTCCTGTGTGTCACCTTCTTCCTGTGTGTCACCTTCGACATCAGGGTCCTTAATGGAACTAGTTTCCTGGCCTTCTGGGCTATCATCATCATGACTACCACTAATGGTTTCGTCACATCCATCAGTGTTGCCATTCGGATGGCATATAACAACACCATCTGATTCTTCATCTGTAGACATTTCCACAGCCTCTTTCAACATTGGACTGCAGAAAAGAATATAAAGATTAAATACGCATGTAGTTCTGCAGCTGGAGGCCTAGAGAAATTCAAGTAGAACTGTAGAAGAGAAGAATTGACATACAATACATGGCTTGAGCAACCATCATGGACAAAAAGAACAAATTATAAATATTATTCACAAATACCATGCTCCCTACGTTCGAAATTCTGCAATCACGTTCTCAGGATAACTGAAGGACCTGGTTCTTTTAGCACATTCTGGCAGCCGATTACCTACGCACATATATTCAACTATAACCATGCCAGCAGTCTTTGAGGTATGTGACTACAAAGGTATACCCGGAAACAAAACTATTTATTATCAAAACTGAACACATTTGAAGAGAATAGCCTTAGGAAAAGTAAACATTAATTAGTATGCTCCAGACATTTTTCAGTGAAATTCAAGGCTAAACAACCATCGGATATGTAAAAAAGGAAAAAACATAAGCAAACTCGGCAATCCTAACAGGAAGCTGCAGGTACAATATATTAAATGCCAGGATTTTCGAACATCAAATGAGATGCCTAAGGAATGCATGTGAAACATTTCATGTATGCAAGAGTTCAGAATCGCATCCACAATACAACTTTGAAGCACCATGGAATGATTTCAGCATGTTCAACAAGTTGAGGCATAGAGAGTCCAGATTTGCCTCTTCAAAAGGAAGAAACAGCAGCTCAAGTTCAAATTTCGTGCTTGATAATTCCCAGCGGTTCCACACATTCACATAAGTGGAGAAATGTTGCAGAGACCCCCACTGGGCCACTTGAAGAGCACATTGCTTGGGGAAATACTATCTGTGATAATCTTCTACTGAGATTAGCACAAGCACCGACAGCGATGAGGGACGCAATGCAACATGAACTAAGACACACAGCTTATAGAGCAACTTTCGACCTTCTGTCTCCCCGCGAGCTCCAAATCTCCGAGTTCATCAATCTATCTCCTAGAGGCTAGAGCAACCAAACCCTAACTCGCCAGCACAGAACAAGTAAAAATCACCCCCCCCCCCAAAAAAAAAAACACTAAAAATCGTGTGAATCACGGAGACCTCCGCCAGATCTACCAACAAGCCAGACGATGAACTCCGACAGCGACATTGCTCCAGTGACTACACCAACACCCACACATAACCCACCGAAACAAACTGATAACGAAGGGAATGCAGCTGAAGGCAGTGGCGTTACGTGCTCTCGGGCCCCTCGTTAGTGAGATCCCAGCGGCGGCGCGCCGCCGCCGGATCCCCGCCGCTCTCGCCGGTCGCCGACATGGAGCGACAGCGCAGCGCGAGACCGCCCGCCCGCCGCGCCCGGCTACGCTAGCAGCTAGCTTCCCCGCGTCTCCCGGCCTCGACACCCACCAACGGCGCCCTCAGCGCCGTCGGCCGTCGTCGCCTCCTCCTCCCTCGCCGCGCAGCCGCAGCCTCAGCCGCGCGTGTGCGGAATGCGTTTTTTTGGTGGGGTGAGGCGTGCCTCTGTGTGTGGATCGGATCCCCCGTGCACGAGGGGTCGGCCGCTGCTTCATTCAGTAGCGGAGCGCAGTGGGAGGGCCGAGGAGGGTGCCGTGGTCGCCGCTCGGGCCCACGTGTAAGTGGCGGCCGAGAGTACCTGGGTTGGGTTAGGTTAGGTGGTTCAAAATGTGATGCGGTAACGGTAACAGTAAAGTACTCGTTTTCACTGTGCTGGAAGAGGCAGGTGATCGCAACGTCTTGGGCCTTGTTTATTTACCCAAAAATGCAAACTTTGCCCTCGTTTAGTTGGAGAAATTTAGATTTTGGGGCTACTGTAGCACGTTCGTTTTTATTTAGTAAATAGTGTTCAAACATGGACTAATTAGGCTCAAAACGTTCGTCTCGCAATTTCCCACCAAACCGTGCAATTAGTTTTTCTTTTCGTCTACATTTAATGATCCATGCACGGGCCGCAAACATTCGATGTGACAGATACTGTAGCAACTTTTTGAAAGTTGGAGTGGAACTAAACAAGGGCTTTAGCACTATGCAAAAAGAAGATTCTCCGTTACATCAAACTTGCGGTACATGCATGGAGTACTAAATATTGACGAAATCAAAAACTAATTGCACAATTTGGTTGCACTTTGCGAGACGAACGTTTTGAGCCTAATTAGTCAACGATTGGACAATTATTATCAAATACAAACGAAAAGCTACAGTGTGCTACAGGGCTGGTGAATTTCAGGCGGCGCCGATTCAGGCGGCAACTAAGGTCTTGTTTAGATTGTAAGTTTTTTCACTCTCTCTCCATCACATCAAATCTTTGACACATGCATGGAGTATTAAATGTAGATAAAAAAATAACTAATTACACAGTTTGATTGTAAATTACGAGACGAATCTTTTAAGCCTAGTTAGACCATGATTAAACAATAATTATCAAATATAAACAAAAATGATACAGTACCAAATACTAATTTCTAACTCCAATCTAAACAAGGCCTAAACGCGGCCTTGCTGGCTCAGCAGTCAGCACAGCGCCTCAGCAGCCAGCCATGACCAGCCACAGTAAGCTGGAGCCCCCTGCCCCCGTGCCCCGCAGCGCCGCAGAAGATCCGGACCCGTAGAAGCTGGGGAAGGAAGACGACGGCGAGTCGGCGACCGGTCGGTCGGTCACCGCTTCACTAGGGAGTACCCGATCCGGTCCCCGTTTGCTACTGTAGTGTGACCAACATCGGATGCTCGTACCTGACAGGGTGACAGTTAGGCCGGTCAACCGTAAGCCTCGCCGCAGCGGCAGCGCCCCATTCATCGCTGCTTCCGGACGTGCTCCAAGTACGTATTTTATATTTTTTTTAAATGCCCATGTCCGGTTTGGCTCACCGACGTGTTCGGTAGACGCTCAGCACACCACAAATATGTGGTCGGAGGCTCCGTTCGCGATTGCAACGAGAGAAAAAAAAAACCCTTGCAAAATTAGTTCTCCTCGAGGAGTCAAGATGAGCACAAGCTAACTAGCCGGCCTGTTTCAGAAATCAGAACGTCAAGAAATGTTCAGTCGAGACGGATGTACTACTAGTAACTCTAAAATCAGCTGGATGCCCAGGTTCAAAAAAAAAACTGGATGTTAACATTTTATTCTTTATTTGTTCCACGCCATTGCTTTTTATATATAAACATTATATGTGGATATGACATTGTACCGTGGAGACGTTGCTTGTATTTGTTTACGGGCTTTATCATGCTCTACAGGTCGATCGAGTCAGGTAGAAGGAAAAATCCCATCATGCTTTTTATCAGACCAATACAGGTGAGGAGTGCCAATTAACCTTTGATGACGGCTTATCTGCTAGGATTATTACAAAAAGGCAACTCTTTACACCAAAGCAAAGCTTATACCTATTTTCCATTCATACTATCTTGTGGTACAATCTAGTGCTAACTTTAGCTTCTTTAAAGCAAGCCGTTTGTGCGGGCATACTGCACGGAGGACCTTGATGGTGAAAGCTTGATCTACCACAAAAAGGTTATTTCATGCGTGGCAGTTTTTTCTGATTTCGTGGGCGGGTGTTCACCCGTTACCGTAAAATTCCATCTCAGAAGTTTTGATGCTTAGTTTTATACTAAAACAAACTACTTCTAAATTTGATCAAATTTATACAAAATATTATTGATATTTATGACATAAGATAGATATACTTTGAAAATATATCTTACTATGAATGTAATGATACTTGCTCCCTTCGTCCCAAATAAAATTGCACTCATCGTTTTTCAAAAAGTAAAACAATTTTAAGTTTCACTAAATCTAAAAAAAAATACTAACATTCATGATACTAGATAAGTAACATTTATGATACCAAATGTATAGTATTAGATTAGTATGGGATATATTTTAATAGTAAACCTTTTCGGAGGTATAAATGTTGATACACCCTCTATTCCAAATTATAAGTCGTTTTGATTTTTTTGGTACATCGAATTTTCTATGTATCTAGACTTACATTATTTCTATACATAGCAAAGTCGATGTACCCAAAAAAAAGTCAAAGCGACATATATATTTCTTTATGAAAAAGGCAACTTATAATTTATAATAGAGGGAGTATTGTTTTTTGTATAAATTAGTAAATTCAAATTTAAGAAAAAATGACTTTGTCGAAAACTATAAAAGCACTCTTTTAGGATGGAGGGAGTATTTGGTAATATAAATATTGATAGTTTCTTATATAAATTTAGTAAAGTTGAGATAGTCTGATTCAGTTTGAAATAGGATGTTAGTAGTTTTTTTTTTGTACGGAGGCGCTCCTCACTCGGCTGAGGATGCAGACTCTAGAAGTGATCAATCACTGACGTCAGACTTCACTGCTTCTGGTACAATTTTTCTTTTTTTCCTTTTTTTTTTGTTGAGGAAATGCTTCTGGTACAAACGGTAATACACCAGGGAGTGCGGTTTCTGCATATTGCAAGTCCCCAGGTAATACAAATGGTATACGTGTGACCTAGGTCTCACATTGGGTTGGGCCGGCCAAAATGGCAAGCAAGCAATTCGTGGGCTGGCAATTCTTAACCGGGAACCAGCTAGGGTGTGTTTGATACCCTTCCCAGCCCAGCCAGGCCAGCTCCAAGCAGCCAGGCTGTATTTGCCCAGGCCAGATGCATGCAACAAGGGTTGTTTGGTTGCATGCATCTGTGGAACCAGGCTAGACTGAGACAGTGTTTGGTTGCATGCATGTGTTTATAGATTTAAAAAGCTCATGCATGGATCATTGTTTGGTTGGCTGCATACAACAAGTTGTAGTCACCTCTTGCATGTAGTGGTAACATTACCATCCACTAGTTGACATCAGATATTACATCAATTTCCAAATGAAAAAACCTACCAGCAAGGCAATAACTACTGCTATTACAAGTATAAATGAACTGTGGCACAAGCGAAAGTTGCAATTTCCATCATTTTCTAGTAGAGGTGCACTGACATGTTGGAGGAGAGGTGGATTTTCAGGTTGATCACCATATAAAGCTAGCAAAGCTTCATTTTTTGTTTTGTATTTTTTGTAGCAGTTTCCCTTGAAACCATCTACTTGGGCATGTGCTTCGGCCCAGCTGAAGTAGACCCCAGGCTCGTTCCCAACATGAACAACATACCAAGCCATAGCTGTACATGTTCTCAGATCAATAAAAAACATCACAGGCAATGGACATGTGCTCAGATTAATCAAAATAATATCACAGGCAATGGGCATGTGCTCAGATCAATCAAAAACATCACAGGCAATGAACATGTGCTCAGATCAATCCAAAAACATCACAGGCAATGGACAAGTGCTCAGTTCAGTCATAAAGCATCACAAGCATAATGAACTGTCCCTTGTTAGCCATAATGACAAAATGTTTCAAAGAGTCATCTAACAAATCAAGTTGTAGTATCACAGGTTTTTGCTCACCTTGGTATGACCATTGTAGTGTTCCTCCTCAAGAACAATCATGCAGTTGTCCTCATCCCACTGAGCTCCACTAAGATCCCTCAGCTTGGACAGTTTCACCCACCTCTGCCTCCACTTTCTCAGGTGGTTGTACACCTGGGTACCACTAACTTCATGACCACAGAACTCTTGCAGGGCCTTTGCCACCTTGTTCAGGTGCACTTCTTTGAGGCTCTTACCAGTCCTCACTCCAGTGGTAATGAGCTGGCACATCTGCTTCAGCACAAAGGTAGACATGGGCTCAGTCCAGGGAACACAAGCTCATCAGCAGGCATCATCTCCTCAGCCATAGCCTAATTCATCATTGCACATGCCTAGAGCCTTAGCACAAGTGTATTATGTCAAGAAAAAAACATCATTGCACATGCCCAAAGCCTCAGCATAAGTGTAGTCATTGCACATGCCCAAAGCCCCAGCATAAGTGTAGTCATTGCACATGCCCAAAGCCCCAACATAAGTGTAGTATCACAGAAAATTTATCATCATTGCACATGCCCAAAGTCTTAGCATAAGTGTAGTATCACAGAAAATTTATCATCATTGCACGTGCCCAAAGCCTCAGCATAAGTGTAGTATCAGATGAAAAAAAACAGCATTTGTCCATGAATAAAAAGGATTCATCATATACTAGAACATGCTAAAAATAAGACTTTCATCATCA